CTCTAACCCCAAACGTTTAACTGACTCTTTCATGTCATATATTCAGTAACGTTGCGATACAAAAGTATTCTGTTACACGATACAATATACAGAGAGTGAGAGAGAAGGTTAGGGTTCCATAAACTTGTATTGGGGTCATGGAAGTGAAGACTCATTGATATTCAATGCCAAAGAAGAAAGTGTTCATCGGAGTTCAAAGCCAAATAATTGTGTTCTTGTATTCGACGATTATTCAATCGTCTGAAGGTATGAAAGTACTTCTTGATTTGATGAAAAATCACGTGGTTACACTCTTGAAATTTTGAAATGCTTCCGTTGTGCCTTCAGTATGTACATTGTATATTTGTTCTTTAGCATTAAACAACTCAAGTTGTGGTCAATATCACCTAATTTTGCTCCTTTTTTTTTTTTCTTTTTTTTTTTTTTTCAATCTTCTCATGTAGTTAGCATTTGTTTTTCATTACAAAATATTGATTTAGAGAAAAGCAGAAGAGACACATACACTTTCATGAAAAGATGGGCATACGGCACTTTTAAAATTGTTAACATGTTATTGAAGGAAATATGCCAATTAATGCCTGATAAAAAAATAATATAACATTTATGTGAAGTTTTTAATTAGAAAATTCTTTTAGCTGATGGCATTTTTTAGATTTGTGATGAACTTTAAGTTTATTTTATGTTTGCATTATTTATTCAATGCTTGAGAACTCAATTACCCACCTACTCCTAAGAGGACTTGAACCATCAGCCTTTTACTTTATAAGGCAAATAAGTAAGACTAAATTACAGCTTTTGATGATTAATCACTTGCCTATTGTATGTGAATTAGTTCATCTTCGAAGTATTTTTCCCATACAAATAGTTTTTGTATAGTTCAATCTCCTCCACTCTCTTTTTATTCGTGAAACTCCTCCACTCTTCTTCCATACCTCCTAGAATTTTAGAAACAAAAATAAAACATAATACCTAATGCAATGGGTTTTTATATGCGTGAATCAATTAGTTTTTCCACTAAAGTTTGTTTAATATTTTAATTTTTAATCCTTTATAAATATTTATATTATAATTATATGACAAATTCGTTCACGTGCATCACACACGCTTTTTGTTAGTATTAGAAAAGTGATGATCATTTCATTTCTACATTATTTTTTATATTTGTAACAAAGTAGAATGAAAAGGATCATATATTTCAATCTTATTCTTATTCTCATTCTCATTCTATTCTCACTCGCACTCCATTTACATTTTGCGTACCAACATAAATAAAATGCCAACAATGCCATCCGTTCGAACAAAAAAAAAAAAACCGTGGAAAGTAATCTTATTATTATTTGTAGTAACTTATGTATCCACATGTGATATGACAAAAAATGTCCTTTAACAAATTTAATAATATTAATATAATTTTATTAAATAGTAATTAGCAGTTAGGCATTTTTAATATTCATATTAAATATACATTTAAGTTCTATAATTTAAAAGTGGACATTTTATATATTCATATTAACTGTGGTCACCTTGCGGGATGGGTGTGCGTGGCGGGTGCGATGTACAATTGACAGGTTAATGTGCACAATTTCACATTCTTTGGTTGTGGAAAGAGGAAATATTATACATATATAGGCGATGTTATATCCAAATGATATGAGCTAGGCTTTTTGGAATGAAACCTTAAAAATAAAATAATGCGATTTTGGACTCATACCGAACAATATCATATCGCGTGGTAAAATGTGGCCAATGAAAACATTGGACCTTTGTAGTCGTTTTGGTGTAAAATTCAAAAGTAAAATAGATTTACATTAAATATACATTTAATTATATAAACACATATAAATATTTGATATATAAAATCTTTAAGCATTAATTTTTTTTGTTTAAAAAATGTTATGTACATAATTATAAAATTTGAATAAATTATTCTAAATTTGGATAATTAAGTTACTGAGTTTGCAATTAGAAACCTAAACTTTAATTTATATTTTCAATTTAAATATTGCTAATTAATATTTCAAATTTGCAAATTATAAATGTAGGTTACAAAATTTGCAAAATTAACTTACAAACCTGCAAAGACCTCTCCTTATAATTTCTAATACTCATTTCCATTTACCTCTCCCTGTGTCCCCTGAGCACAGAGCTTGAATTCAGAGTCGAAAGCCTAGAAACTTCGATACAGCGGTCATGAACCACTAACACATATGTGAAGCAATTGGCCGTAGAATACGAGTTTGTTCAAATTGAATAATTATTTAATTCGGTAATTCACCGAAATTTCTTACCTTTTTTTTTTTTTTTTTTTTTTTTTTTTTTTTTTTGATAAGTAACTGAAAATTCTTACTTAATTAATTATTTACATGTTGCTGTGTTTATTTGTTTGTGTAGACTGTATATAAAAGGGCAAACGAAGAAAACAATCGAGTATTTCGCGATCAAGAGCATTGATAAATCACAAAAGAGCAAGGTTCTTCAAGAAGTAAGTATTTGTCTGTCTCATATATATATATATAAATTTACTGAAGCAAATTTTGAGGTTTTAGTTATTATTTTATCTTTTGTGAATACAAGTTAATTGACAGATTAAGGGAAATTGTTATTCATTTTGAAAAATTGGTGTGTGATTTTGAAAAATTATTGATTAAGGTGTGGGGATTTAGACCTAGAACTTTAATCGGAAAGTGCCATTGCCGGGGATGAAGGTGGAGAGCTCGGCGAGTGTAAGGGCCTCTCAAATGGAGCGATGAAGGGGAAAGACGAGGTCAAATTTGGAGTTAGGTTAAATTTGGTATTTCACATAATTACCATGAAATAAGCAAATTATTTTTTTTGGCTAAAATTTATTGAGAACAGTTTTTTCATTAGCATAGACCTTTTATGGCTGTTATAGGTTTGGAGTTGATTTTTGCAAAAGTTTCATTTATGGGTGCAAAACCAAAGCCACTGGGGAGGTCAGGGTAATTCACCCATAAACTAAATAACAAGTGCCTAATTCTCAAGCAAACATGAAATAAAGCATATTGACTTGTGCATCCCTAGATTCCGAGTAGAAAATCTTTTAACTCGTTTGAAATTAAGTAAGTGTTGCTAGATAATCACAAAACTCGTTTGACTAAAAAAACGATAGATAGGTGAAATCTTGATAATATAATATGAGATTTCAAGTGCGCTCAAAACTTGTCCAAAGGTCTTCTAATCCGAATCAAACATATTTTACATATAAGAACACTTTTGGACACATCTGGAAATGATCAAAGTCAATTTTCTAGCTAAATTCAAATTAAGTCCAAATTAGTTCCAAATTTTTTATTTTTATTTTTTTAAAAGAGAGAATTTTTGTTTCCTAATAGAATTAGAAAGGACTTTTCTATCTCCAAACGATTTTTGATGTAATTTTTTTTTTTTTTTTTTTTTTTTTTTTTTTTTAAATATGGGTTTTTGTTGTGGTGTTTTTTTTTTTTTATTTAAACCACTCAACCATTTGAAATGTTTGGTTTTGGAGTCTTACTTTTCTTGGATGAAATTCAACCACTAAAATAAAAGTTGCATATATTGCTCTGTATGTCAAAGAGTAACCGAATATGACTGAATATATAACAGAGCTTTTTTGTGTGTGAAAACAAATTGGAGATCAGCCTATTGTTTTAAGGGATTAATTGTATTTACAGGACAGGATTCAAATAGGGTCATCTCCAATTTGTTTAATTTAGAAGATTCACAAACTTTGGTATATAGTAATTTGTAAGAAATGCTTTTTTAGAGTTTGAGGTAATACTCATATTTTGTTCATTTCTCTTGTTGTGTATGTTTCAACTTGTAACTTTATGACCTCTTATGCTCTCAGTTCTTGCTTAGTGGATTTTCTTCGGAGGATTTTTCTTGCCTCTTGTAAAGGGTTTTTAGCTAAAGATGATTTGATATCTTGATTGTGCTTTATGGTGATCAAGGATTTTATTTTTGTGTTTCTTGGAGTTAGGTTAAAGTTGCGTAATTATTCACCTGAATTGGAAAGGTGTACATTTTCAACAAATTGTGATAATAGTTTTCTTCAGTGCACAGAATGTGTTTTTCCCATTGTTTTTGAACTGAAAAAAAAAAAAGGACATAAAGGAAATTGAAAAACAACATTTTTTTCAACAAGCCCTTCAAGGAGCTTTTGGGACTCACCATAGTTATTTGACTAACGAATTATATTACGGTCCATCAATGCCAATATTGACATGTTTGGGGGCATTGAAAGAAATAATTGATTAGCCTTCTACTGTAGGCTGTATAATTATCATTATGATTAATTTCTTAATGACTTTTTGTAGTTTTGTTGCATAAACTTATTGGTATTGTGTTTTATTTTTGTTTATAAATTTTAAATTACGATTATAAGCAATTAAAATATGTAAACGTGACCGCATTTATAGTTGAGTGTTCTTCAAAACTTCTATTTTTTCAGGCAGAGAAATGATTTGTATTAATTAAAAAGAAGTAATACAAAGGGACAAATAGCTCAAAACAAGCCAGCAGCCCACAAGACAGGCCCAACGTAGTCTACCCAAGCAAGATCTACTGTTATCGATCGTTCCCTTGATGCAATTAATCTCATCGTTTCCTGAACGTCTATGACAATTAATTAACTGATGATCGAAAAGTGATCAGTCCAAAAAAGTATGTACTCAAACTGAGAATTTTATACACGTGCATACTCCCGCAAGAATCAACTCACACCTCACACGATCATTTCACACACACACACACACACATACATCATGTGGAAATATATACAAGGAGTTCTCTACTAAAACAATTACAGGCTTATTGATCGATATTGATCACCTCAGAAATCATAAAGACCACAAATCATTAACAAATCATCATTGTTTCTATCACCATTATCATCATTTGCTGCAAGATCTCTTAACCACAGAAATCTACTAGAAAGAGTATGCTCCTCATTGTCGTCACATTTTCTTTTACCTTTGTCCCGGCCTTCATTGAGACATTAGTCAGTTCAGTTCTTCAATGTCCATCCTGGTACACTTGCTAACTTTAGTATAGACCGGGATGACTCCACATTTCTTCACAATCACCTCGCAACATGTATCGATTTCAACTTCCACTTGGTCTCCACCATCCACCTCAAATATATCTTGAATGGGTACATAGCACAATGATAGGTGCTCATCTTGGATGGCTATTCCAGGATAAGGTGGACGACTAATACAGCGAACAAAAAAATTCTTGGTTGCATTAGTAATAGGAAAAATAAAGTCTGGTAAATTTCTTAACTGAAAATCACGTGCTGCATATATCATGCATAGAACCAAGCCTTTCATCATCCTCATATCTGGAGGCACTTGAAATGACAACTTATTACTCGTCCCGTGATATCTGAACCATTCAGGAATTTCAGACCAGGGTAATATAAATTTAATACTCTCAGGCGTTCCCAACCATCCCTGCAATTAGAAGGATTTATAATGTGTGAGCTAGACACATATATACATACACACATATATACATATACATCAAAGTTGAGAACAGAGAGACCTGTAGGAGATTCTTCGTGATTGGGAGCTCAGCTAGTTTGTTGCAATCATATAGAATTATACTGGGGGCATGTGAAAAGTTTGATAGATCCGGAAATCTTTCCAATGATGATGAACCGTTAGCACAAATGTAAGTCAGGCTAGACGGAAGCTCAGGAAGTGATTGGAGCTTTGAACAATACCGCAAATAGAGTTTTTCAAGCCTAGAAAGTCTGCTGATGCTAGTTGGTAAAGTAATGAAATTGTTGTAATCCAGAGCCAGATATTCTAAAGAACATAGACTCCCAAGATCTTCTGGAATTGAACCCTCTGATAGATTGCAACTTTCGAGGGACAACTGGGTTAGAGAGGTTAATCCCGACAATGAAGTTGGCAATAAGCTGGTGGAATCAGAGTATTTAATTGGTGACACCCACGACAAAAAGTGTGAAATCAATGATTTGGATGGTGATCCTTTTATGCCAGACAGCGATAAACACCGAAGGTTCTTTAAATGCACTATGGAAGCTGGTATTTGTCTTATCGCAGTCTTATCAGCAAGAAGCATAGTTAATGATCCAAGCTCCCCTATGTCCTCTGGAAATTTATTTAATTCCAAGCAGCCAGAGACCTCAAGAATTTCAAGAGATTTCAACATAACGATGCTCCTTGGAAGATTCACAAGGTTTGCACAATGTTTTAGGTTGAGTAATATGAGTTTATCTAAACATCCAATGGATTCGTCAATCGTTTGCAAACCTCTACAATCTTTAAGTATCAATTTCTCAAGGTTTGGGAGTATTGAGAAGTCAGTGGTGATTCTAGTTAGCAAATGGGAATGACTTAGATCAAGAATTTTCAACTTTCCATTAACCTGGGGAAAAAAACAAAAAAGTTTTAGAGGAGAATACAGTTCAAACAGCCAAAAAAAAAAAATTCAACAATAGGTATTTAATTCAAAGTATTTACTATACCTTGTTATCCTTCCATACATGTCTCAGGTTGCTATACTGCATGTCAATAACAAGTAATTTCTCTTGATAAAAGTTAGGCGGTATAGAATTCAAAGGGAATCCATGCCAGCATAGCCATCTCAATTTTTTAGAAAGATGTTCATAGCCTCCAGTGATGTTTGCATTATTCAGTTGTAGCAATCTTACATTGTGCATCCTTGAAAATGCTTCAGCTCTCAAAGTTATTTTTTTTGATCCATCCATATTCAATGCCAGGCCTTCAATTTGGTTTGTTCCCTGATAAAAACAGAGCACTTGTTAAACATTAAGAAGCATAAGCATTTTGGTTCGTGCAAGTGAAAGTTAATTGAAATAATAAGCATAGGCAATTAAGTTTATATAATTCAAATTTCATTGTTTAGTTTCTTTACTTCAGCATGTATTCTTGAAAGAAAAAATTATTCCTTGAACTCTTACCGTGCAATTTGTTAGTACATCAAGAACATCCTCACAATACCACAATCTGCTCCGCTGTCCAGAGTCGTGAGTAGATTCTTGACAAACAATTTCTCTTCCCATGTCTCTTAGCAGATCATGCATCATTAGTTTGTTATCTTTGTTCAAATTTACAAGGCACCTACGAATGAGAACACCAATACCACTTGTTGCGAAAAAACCACAACCATCTAGTATTTTTGTGACACAGTCTTTGTCCATTCCAATAAAGAAACATGCAATATCAAGGAATATCATTTTTTCATAGCGATCCAATGCATCAAAACTTAGAATAAGCTGGCCTTGAATTTTACCATGAGGAGCTTTTTTCAATTTCTCCAACGCGTCTTCCCATTCAGCAATGCTTTTGAACTCTCTTAGAAACGAACCCAAAACTTCAAGGGCTAAAGCCAATCCTTTAGCGTAACCTACTACGTCTTTTGAAAGCTGAGCAAAACTTTCTGCAGGATCACTCCTCCCAAAGGCATGCCAACTAAAGAGCTCAAGAGATTCACTGTCATTCAATTCCTCAACCATATAATTGTCATTTACTTCAATATGTTCTAGCAGATGCTCGTTTCTAGTTGTTATGATGATTCTACTTCCCGGACCATAACAATCTTTTCTGGCCTTGTCAGAATGGCAACTCAACGCAATTAGTTGGTCTAGTTGATCCACATCATCAAGAACAAGAAGAACCCTTTTGTTGCAAAGCCTTTTTTTTATCACTTCGATTCCTCGATCAACACTGCTCACCTCTCTGACTTTTGTCCTCAGTATATCATAAAGAAGCTGCTTTTGCAACCGTATTTGGTTTTTATGCTGCTTTGAATTCTCTCTAACATTTGCCAGAAAACTTTTGCATTCAAAATTATGGAACAAATGGTTGAAAATAGCTTTGGCAATGGTGGTCTTGCCTATTCCACCCATCCCACATATCGCCACCATGCGGACATCATTAGTTCCAACACTCAACAGAGAATACATGTATTCCGTACGAGAATATAACCCAACTGGGTGGATGGCTACATGTAAGTACGTATGATTCAATACACTCAAAAGTTTCTCAACAATTGTTTTGATGAACTCTTCTTCATGCCTGTTTATGATGTTACAATATAAGATACGGCAGACAAAAATCAATAAAACTTAGTGAACATTTTAAACTGGGAATAAAGAATTTAACAAACTCGAATCAGTTGATTGGAAGTTTAGCTCTAGCCACAAACTGACAAACAAGAACATAGGATCGTAAGTGGACCAAAATATCCAGTTGTTATTATTATCAAGCATGGATTGAGTAAGATGTAGGGCTGTAATTCTGGCGGGTTAGACGGGTTTAAGGTATAACTTGAGCCCAACTCATCATATAAAATGCAAAACCTAAGTCCAATCATAACCCTATCATCAATCTTAACTACTCAACTAAAGCCCAACCTATCCTTCTACTTTTAAATTCAGACTTGCAACTCGACGTTAGATTCTGAATTAAAACTTCATCTTAATTCTGGTTATTCATATGACTAATCTTTATACCGAAAATTTAATATGTTCTTAAATTAGTTTTAGATTAAATTATTCTTAAACAAGGAGTTTAAAGACTTTTTGTATATTTTTAATGGATTATAAACAAATGTTTAGAAAATTAATTCTCCTAAATGTTAACATACAATAAGTTAAGATTAAAAAAATAAATAAATAAATAAAAATAAAAAATAAAAAAAGGTTGAAAAGAAAAAAAGTAATCATAGTTTAAATATTATATATAATGTATTTAAAAGTAAATATATATATGAAAGTAATATTAGATTGGGGTTCGTGCTCGCTCGGGTTGTTAGCACTTTAACGATTTAATCCGAGTTCAACCCTAATTAAATTCAGGTTAAGATTTTTCAACCCAAGCCCAACCCTAATTGTAAAAATGATTGCCCAAGCTCGTAAAAAATCGAGTTAGGCTCGGGTTGGATTCAGGTTACCCAACCCAAATTACACCCCTGGTAATACGCCAAGTTCAGCTTTTACAGAGAAACACAGCAATTGAATTTATATAAGCAATTAAGCATATACCAGAGATGATGATGCCAATCAAATAAAAAATAAGCAATTGCAATACTAATTAATTAAGATTACCCGTCAGTGGCATCTAAATCCCACCCAGATAATTCCCCTGCCTCAGCCAAAGCTTTCCTCCAACTTGACACCTCGTTTTTTTCCGCGTTTGGATCAGCATCATGTTTCAAAAATGCTTCCCCAAAGCTTCCAGTTTGTTTCCTCACATCTGATGGATTGACGTTGTAAAATATGGGTAGTACCAATTGAGATAATTGCTCCCTGCGTTTCATTATCTCCACAAGTTCATTCAGACACCATTTGGAAGCTGCGTAGTTCTTGGAGAAAACAACCAAGAAAACATTGGATCCGTGAATAGCTTCAAAAAGCTCGGACGAGATTTTTTCTCCCCTTTTCAGTTCATTTTTATCCCTGAACGTAGTGATTCCGGCACCGTGCAGTCTAGAATAGAGATGATCAGGGAAGTTCTTGCCAGTATCTTCGCCTCTGTAGCTTATGAACACGTCATATGTCCATTTTTGAACTGGTGCATACGAGGAAGAAGCTTCATTTCCACCTAAAATGGACATGGCCATGGAAAAGTTTAGAGATAGAGGAACACCTTAAAGGTTCCGAGCTACACGAGTTGTGTATGAGAAACAGAAAGAGCAAATTGGTGAGCGAGAGAAAAGCAAGACAAATTTATAAACTAGTAATTTTAAAGATCAATTGATCACCTAACCCAACTTACTAAAATCCAAGAATTTATTAAAAAATTATCCATTGTTCAACAAAGAGAAATTTAATAATACTGATGAAAAACACATTGCACCTACTGCATGGAAGAATCGGTCGTTGATGGATTGTTAGCCATTAGTTCATTATAAAAAACTGCAATCTAATAACAAGTCCATTCTCACTCCACGCGTTTATGTGTCTATTATGAAAGTTCCCTGTGATCAGAGTTTATCAACCACTGATTAAAGAAAGGGAAAAAATAGACTCATGGATTTTATATAATAAATAAAGATTGTTTGTTTGTATCACTTGTTTTTATCTAATTTAATTTAATATTCAAATTCATATCAATTTTCAATCAAGGCGGGTTCTTAGAAGCTGCATGCTTGAGAAGACTTTGTGTGTGCACCTCCAAAGTCTTCATATTCTAATAACCCACATATTACGAAGTTTGATAATTTGGAATGTGTGGGTTTGTTACATTAATTGTGAGGTAACTGAGTACACAAACTTTGTAAATAAAAAATTAAGGAATAAAATATGGAGCAAATAATAATTTTATTGATTTATAAAGACTGGGTACAATTAGAGGTATTATTTACAAACCAAAGAAATTCCAGCAGTGTGAGATTATTAAGGCGTTTATGTTTGTATTTTGCTCTTGCCTTCCACCACTGCCATTTTCCTCCTCCTCCTCCTCTTTTAGAATAATTATAAAAGAATGTTATTTTGATAATTTTAATTTTTTTTTTTAATCACTGAGAGTTATTTTGAAAAAATCTACATTTCAACCAAATATTAGAAAGGTGACAATTATTTTATTTCTACATCATATATTTCATATTTGTAACAAAGTAAAATGAGGATGACTAATATATATTTCATTCTCATTCCATTTTCACTTGTACTCCATTGTCATTTTGCGCACCAAACGTAGTGTAAGTGTTTGACAAGTCAACTAATTAGAGCACTATTGAAATCAAGGCTAAAAGCTATCAAGCAAAGATTGTATATCTTTGTTTGAGGTCTTGGCCTCTATTTATAAGTAATTCGTAGATAATTGATTTCTTTTAGGACTCGCATTACTTGTCCATTAAGAATCTCAATCATAATATATTATCTTTATCGTACATGATTTGTTTTCCTTAAATTATAGTTCTTCTTCTAAAAGAATTACTACTAAATATGGACTTATTGGTAATTTGGGCCTGGAACTCCATTGTTTCGGACCTTCTAAATGTGTTCAGTCCTCTATACATCGTTGGGCTGGCCAAACCTCTAGTCAAGACCCAATTCGAGAGTTGAATGGGCTTTGCATTTACAGTGGACACCACACGTGATGATGTGTTGTCTTTTTATTGGTGGGAATGTATTTTCCCTCCACAAAGTGAAATTCCAACAATGCCAAAAAATAATATACAAATAACATGATGATAAATACATCTTACCAAAAGTGTCAAATCAATGCATTTATCCCTGGACAGTTTCTGGAGGTGTAAAGGAGATGATTTTTGTCCATTTTAATGTATTTGGAAATCAAGGTGCATGTGACAAGACCGCAAAATTTCATCATTTCAAAGGGGTAGAAATTCTTCTACTGAGCTTTATGCTCACCCTTTATTTTAAACATTTTCAGGTTCGAAAAAGGAAGTAGCGGAAGAAAATCCACCACAACTTTAGTAGACTAAAAGTTTTATGACTGTCTTTTGTACGAGGGACCCCATTCCTTTTTGTAAAACAACATTTTGGAAGAGTGTAATTGTTTTTGTGTAAAGCATGATCATATTTTGTAACTATAATTTTGATAGTATTTGATGTATTCGGGACTATGTATAATATGATATTTTGTATGGAAAACAATGTGTAATTAGGGAGTTGATCCACATATATGTATATATTCATGGAATGCTATATATGTTGTCGTGAATTCGGGATTGAATGACTATCAGGTTTGGCTCACAAAGAGCCCAGATTTCTGAACTTTCAGGTTGCACATAGCAGCATTACAAGGTTCATCAGCCGGCTGACAAGGCATGTCAGCCGTGTAAGGTCTGTGTTATGTGTATATATTTGTGTATGTGTGGTGTAATTTAAATATTAAAAAAAGTGGGACCCACGCCCCTTTTAAGTGGTTATAAGACCACCTTTGGTCTCTACTTCTCACACTCTTTCTCTCCCGTCTCTGTGTCTTCCTCTCAGCTTTATTTTTTCTTTTTTTTCTTCAAAACTTCAATTGTTGATTTCTCCTTCATTTCTTAGTGTTTTTAAGTGCCGTTTGCGGCAAAACGGAGAGCACGGCGAGCTCTACACGTGTGTACCAGCATTTTCAGTTTTGAGTAACCTAGGGAGTCCGAAAATCTTGACCCATTTTGAGGGTTTGAGGTGAAAATTGGGGCTTTTGGCTTATATTGAGGTAGGGGTGTTTAATCCACAATCTCTTAGATTTTGGTGACTTATTTTTCATAATTTGTCATTAATTTGTGTTCTAAATTGTGTTATTTTCATATTTGTTATGTGTTGTATATGAGATGTGTATATATACATGTTAGTTGTTATGTGATAAAGAACCACGCAAAATTGATGTTAAATTTCATGCCTATTGTGCTTTAAAATGCTGAATTTTATGATTTTGAAGCATGATGTAAATTCCTAGAATATTTCTATGAGGCATGTATATTGTAAATATTTGACTTGTAAGAAATAAAAATTTCTTTATTGGTACGTCATTGAAATGCATAAGACATATATGCATTCATTGGGATAGAATGGAAAAAATTGATTTGAAAGAAAGGAAATGGATTTTGGGAAAGAATTTTGAAAATGATTTTTGTGAAAGACCCGGCCGCCTAGGAGTTGCCTAGGGACCGCGGCGTTAGTGATGCCTAGAGGGGACTAGGGAAATCGCCCTAGTGTGGTTGAGTTACCTGGGCCCCAAATGATGCCATAGAGTTGCTATGGGTCAGGGACAGTGGCCAATCCTCCTCTCGTGCCGCTATGGAGTTGCCATGGGACGGGTTCACTAATGGTTTGAAAATGATGATGGAAATGGTTTTGGAAAATGGGGAGTGACATTGCATGGCACGGCATCTCATTGTATGGTATATTTATTTGTGGAATTGTATTAATGATGTAGTATTGTAGTTATACTTTTACTCCCGGTATGGTATGATCCCAATTTCCTTATTCCTATTCATTGTGTGGATTCACGGGGTCTCAAGAGGTGTGCCTTAGGCACTTCCTACTAAGCTTATGCTCATCCCTTATATTTAACATTTTTTAGGAAACGGGAAAGAAGTGGCGGATGACGTACCACCACAGGCTTAATTTGGATTAGAAGATTATTTTGCTATTTTTGTATTTAAGTCCCATATTTTTGTAAAACCTTATTTTTTCATATTTAGTATAGAGATTTGTGGACTCTTATTATTATAGTTATATTCATGGACTTTAATTATGATAATTTGGATTAAATGGTATGTGAATGTTCTACCATGAGATGAACCATGTTGAGGCATAATGAATGGATGAATGGGATGCTGGAATATATTAATTGTATTATGTGTTGGGACAGGTCGGATATGTCTTGAAAAGCCAGGAAGGGCCATTGCGTTTTTTTTTTAGCAGGTGGTTGTAGGCCCCTTTTTAGGGGAAGTCATGTCAAATTTTTTTTTTTTTTTTTAAATGGTATCAGTTTAGGATCGTTACAAATTTGGTATCAGAACGAAGATTCGAAAACCATTAGGACAATGAGTAGAGGCCTACATAGGGGTTGCATGGGAACTCATTCGCATAGTTTATGTGATTAATTCGTAAAGTGTTTTGCTATATGCAAAAGCATGCTTAACTGTTTACTTGTTTACATGTTTACGTACTTATATGCTTATATTAATGTGTTCATTGCCTAGTCTTGCATGCTAAGTGTTAGTATAGCATCCTTTTATGTTGAGTTGTTCACAGTTAGACTTTGGTGTTATCGTTATTAAATCGTTTTATTTGTTTTTTTTAGCACGATGTCACGGCGTGAGGAAACCAGGGAAGTTGGCCCTAAACCGACTAGGGGTGATGTTGGCGAGAGCTCCACCTCCAATCCGGAGGAGCTAAATGATAAGGACACATTTCTTAGGGACTTAATTCCCCCGAGAGTTGTCCCCATAAGGAGGGATAATGTTGAAGCACCCGAGAAGTGGGTGAAGGTTCTGTGGCACTAGAGTTGAATCATTTGTTGCAAAATGCCATGAGGGCAACGATTGTTGCTCAGTCGCAGTCGGCACCACAACCTACAGTTCAAGTTGAGGAGACGCCAGCTCAAAAGCGTCTCAAGATCATTAAAGGGTTTTCTCAGCTGATGCCGGTTATGTTTGAGGGCGGTGCGGATCCAATGGTAGCAGACGACTACATGGATTAAGTTGAGACACAGTTGACCTCAATAGATGTGACAGAGGATCACCTGAAGATCATCCTAGCAACTTACAAGTTTGCTAAGGATGCCAAACTTTGGTTGAAGACGGTTATAAATCGGTATAAGGTGGAAGAGATGAGTTTGGACAAGTTTAAGGAACTATTTTACGAGAAGTATTTTCCGCTTTCTAAAAGATGGGAGTTAAAAGACCAGTTTCTTAGCCTTATTCAAGGCAATATGTTAGTAGCGGAGTATGAGAACAAGTTCACTTCACTTTCTCGCTTTGCTCCGGAAATGGTAAGAGATGAAGTTGACAAGACTCAGAAATTTGTTTCCGGTCTTAATGATATAATGAGGCCGTTGATAACGACACAGTTTATCAAAGTTTATTCTAAAGCAGTAGAGAGGGCCTTGTTGCTTAAGGCTGATATTAAAGATAAGGATGCAAGAAGGAAGCAG